GTAGCAAGAATCGCGCCATCGATTCGGCCGGCCGGCTGTGGTACCGGTGACGAGGCCATGCGGCCCAGGGCGGACCGTTTTGCAGCAGATCCACCATCGCACTGCAGTATACCGTTCACCTCAGTGTTCAGTTAGACAGAGTCCTGCACTCAGCAGCCACTCAAACCGAGTGGGCTGCAGCGGGCAACGGTAACAAGAGCCGTTTTAGCATTACTTAGCGTACTCGGTACACTTTTTAAACATCATGATTGAAGGCTGAAACATGGACAGGCTTAGTCGCAGACTGCCTCGCGGCTGGCCGGTAGACCTCCAGACCAGTACAGTCCAGCACCGAACCACCGCATCGAACCACATGTGGTAGGGGATCTAGAAACCACATTGCAGCCAACATTCTGTCAGAAACGGCCTGCCGACCGTCGGACTGGCGCCCTGCAGCGACCGGAGGGGTCGGCCGGCATACCGAGCCGTTGGCCGTGCTGCAGAATGGTTCGGCACTGCCTCAATATACCCCGCGACACCTCATCGGTCCTTGAACCGGAGCCGGTCGATCGCCCGCGCCGGCCGGTGGGCTGTGAACGAGCTGCCGCTGATGGCCCGTGCACGCTGAATTACACCCCTCCACTGAGGGCCGTCCACGCTGCATATGCCGCCGATGACTGGACATATATTGAATAACATCGATTCACCTCTTATTACATACATATAAACACTGAGCAAACATATTGTGCCGGCTGCCGATTCTGGCAGTGCACCAGCTGCACTGTGCTCTTCGATCGGTCGCGGTCAGCTCTCTGATGGGCGATGGCCACTGTCTGACGGGGTGGCCACATCGCCGCTCTATGAAACAGCGGTCCCTGCTCTGCTCCGGTCGGTGGCCAATGGTCACGCCACGGCCGGGCACGACCACCAAACGGCCCGGTCACGGCCGGGGTCACGGCCAACAACCCCTCGGCCTGGGGCCATCAACCGAGCACCGGCATATAGCGTGATCACTAAATTGCTAATCTCGCACGAATGAAGAGGCACACTGTCTAAAACCGCAGCCCATTAGCTGAAGACTGAAAACGTTTGCTAACAATAAGAAAGTTTATGTATATTCCTTGATCCAGTTTACCTTTATCTGGCTCCGGCTATTCGTAATGGGCCTATGAGTCTCAGCAAGGAGCTGACATTGATCTGCGGGGCGATCTATGTGGAAGACAAAAATGTCGGAATGACCATTAACATTTTAATTTAGTGGTACTTTTGCGCTTTTATTCGAATGGCGCCGGGTGATGGGTGGCGCCAGACGCCAGGTTATGGGTGCAAAGTGTCCAATAATAAATCCAATAATAAACCCAATAACCTCTCCGCTAATGTCTCATAAATTCACGATTCTCTTCTGGATGATGATAAAATAGCACTGCAATAATTCATTGCAACAAATAAAATTGTAGGAGTCAATCGAATGTAAATTACACCCAGGCAGGAAAAACATAGCCAGCCGTGCGGACGCTTTTGCGCTTGCTTATATCTCAGCAACCAATTGACCGATTCCTACACGCGGTAGTTTTTGTAGGGTAGCTTCATTCCTTCTACCAAGTATTGGACTATTCCCGATGCATGTGGGTGACCCCTTATGCACGTGCCACGCGCAAAACGAAGCAGTAGCGGCGGAACACCTTCAATTAAGGGGGTACTGCCGACTTTTGGTCCCATTCTTTCCATGCAACGCCCATAGGGCTAATGTTAAAATGCCAAAATCAAAGGGGGCACGGTGCCCAGGTACGGGGATCCGCAGGCCGCAGTTGCTACTGTACAGCGACCCTGAGTATATTGTCCCAGCACCCTCACAGGGAACAGCGATAAGCTGTCAGAGGGCACGCACAGAAAACCTCAGCTGCTCTTGTACAGGGACCGGCAGTCGATATCAATGTTATCACTTGTTACTGGACAGGACAGACTGTTAGACTTGGGGTTCGTGTACAGCAGCAACTGCGGGTCCCCGTACCCTCCCCGTTCCGCCGCCTATGAAACGAAGAGGTGTCAGTTTTGTAATAGTTGGAATATCTCGGTAACTACTTGGCTGATTGCGCTGAAAGTTGGCATGTAGGTAGGCACCCACTAGGCAATGCACATCCATGTGCCAGAGTTGGGGTGCTGCTGCACGTGCGCACGTGTAGGGGTCGTTTCCAGATCTCGAGAACGGCTGGATCGATGGCGCTCAAATTTGGTACACGGTTAGGGACCAGTTAGTAGGGTACCGTGTACAAGTCAGCTGGGACCCATTTTGCACGTGCGCACGTGCAGTGTGCCGCTTTTAGATCTCGAGAACGGCTGGGCCGATTGTGCTCAAATTGGCAAATCGCTAAAGACCGGTTAGTAGGGTGCCGTGCACAAGTCAGTTGGAGGTACCTCATCGAAATTTCGCACGTGCAAGACTCACTCTCTCGCTCGCTCCGTTGGTCGCCCCAAAGGCGTTTTACTGGTAGGCGTTTTACTCCTATGTTTACGGAGCGAGCGAAGCGAGCGGAGTCTTTCCTTAGATTAAAGGGACCCTCCCACATTCAAAAAAGTTTATGAATTGGCATGAAAGTGATGTCGCTCGGTTCAGAAAGAGCGAAAACGAATATCTACCAAATTTCACCGAAAAATATTCACCGGTTTTCAAGATATTAGACTTTTACTTTTGTTTACTTTTTTGGGATCTCCGCTGTTTCTAGCGACTTTATTTTAGAAGTGCGGCGTTTGCGGCAGATGTTGCGCGCAAATAGCATATACCACCGCGTGCTACAAAACGTTTTAGTCAAACATTTAAAAATCGTTAGATATCAGCGCTGACGTCACACATTCAGAGGGGTATTCCTAAGCATTAGCCCCTCTGAATCAAAATGCTGCAATTTTGAAATTCAATATTTCCGATTTAAGGCATTTCTCGATGTTGTGAGTGCCGAAACCGGTAATTGTGAGCCAGGGACCCCATTTTGGCTATCTCAACTCAAATCTAATGTTAAAGGGACCCTCCCACCTTAACATTAGATTTGAGTTGAGATAGCCAAAATGGGGTCCCTGGCTCACAATTACCGGTTTCGGCACTGACAACATCGAGAAATGCCTTAAATCAGAAATATTGAATTTCAAAATTGCAGCATTTTGATTCAGAGGGGCTAATGCTTAGGAATACCCCTCTGAATGTGTGACGTCAGCGCAGATATCTAACGATTTTTAAATGTTTGACTAAAACGTTTTGTAGCACGCGGTGGTATATGCTATTTGCGCGCAGCATCTGCCGCAAACGCCGCACTTCTAAAATAAAGTCGCTAGAAACAGCGGAGATCCCAAAAAAGTAAACAAAAGTAAAAGTCTAATATCTTGAAAACCGGTGAATATTTTTCGGTGAAATTTGGTAGATATTCGTTTTCGCTCTTTCTGAACCGAGCGACATCACTTTCATGCCAATTCATAAACTTTTTTAAAGGTGGGAGGGTCCCTTTAAGGTGGGAGGGTCCCTTTAACGGAAATTTCTGAGTATGAGCGGCCGGCCGGCCGTGCGGACGCTTTTGCGAGGCTTATATCTCAGCAACCACTTGACCGATTTACATGCGGTAATTTTTGTAGGGTAACTAGCCTTATCCCTTCTACCAAGTATTGGACTATTCCCGATGCATGTGGGCGACCCCTTATGCACGTGCCACGTGCAAAACGAAGAGGTGTCAGTTTTGTAATAGTTGCATTATCTCGGTAACTACTTGGCCGCTTGCGCTGAAAGTTGGCATGTAGGTAGGCACCCACTAGGCACTGCTTATCCATGTGCCAGAGTTGGGGTGCTGCTGCACGTGCGCACGTGCAGGGATCGTTTCCAGATCTCGAGAACGGCTGGACCAATTGCGCTAAAATTTGGTACACGGTTAGGGAGCAGCTAGTATGTAGGGTGCCGTGCACAAGTCAGTTGGGACCCATTTTGCACGTGCACACGTGCAGGGTGCCGCTTCCAGATCTCGAGAACGGCTGGGCCGATTGTGCTCAAATTTGGCACATCGCTAGAGACCGGTTAGTAGGGTGCCGTGCACAAGTCTGCTGGAGGTACCCCCTCAAAATTTTGCACGTGCAAGGCTCACCGTCTCGCTCCCTCTGTTAGTCGCCCAAAAAGGCGTTATATATACTGGTAATGTAAGGTACTTTTATTTTGTTCTATCTCCATTTCCACAAAAGCCATAAGCCAAAAATCAATACAGTGGCCCAACGATTTTTTTTTGCAATTTAGGTCTCACCCTTCCTAAACATTAGGTACCATAAAGTCACACAATTTATTTAGGGGGATATTTTATCGGTATTGGTAATGGACCTTTCCCATTATATAGGTATCGACGACAACGGATTAAGACCAACCAATCGGTACCACACGGCACAATCTTCATTCTTCCTCCACGTTCAACGCTCACAGGAATCAGGTGACTCGAATCAATAACCAAAAATGTGTTTTGTTTCTGAGAATTCATGAGAATCCGGGGTAGTGAGTGCCCACCAGCAACCGAGTATTTCTTGATCGTGGTGACAGTATGCATCGAATATGTACAAAAGCCACCGATTTATAATCGGTTCTCATGACCACAACAAATCCACATCGGCCGTATTGCTTGCTGACCAAAATAAATAGCTGATGCGCACTTGCAGCGTGAGTAAGCATGGTGCTGCATATTCAATGAAACTAAGGTTTCAACCAATGAAACTAAGGCTACTGAAATTCACATCACCTACCTACTATTAAAGACGACAGAGATCGCTGACTCGCAAGAACCATACCGGCGAGTCAGGAATCTCCAGCTCACCCGTTACAAGTTGGCAGAGTCCCTAGCTCACCTGAGACCAGTTAGCAGAGGCCATTGCTCACCTGCCACCAGTTAGCATTAGTCTCTACCTCACCTGACACTAGTCAGCAGAGTCCCTTGTTCACCTGACACACACCGACCCACCCCAGAGTCAGCCGCTCACCTGGGGCCATGACAGAGACCCCTGCTCACCTGACACACACCAGCAGCAGAAACAGCAGACGTCCCGCCTGGCCACACATGCTACCGTTTTGGCTGTGAGCGCGAGTGACGGCCCCTCTTTGGAGGCTAGGCCGCCCCAACCGACGGTCGGCGAATGCCCGTCGGCACCGCCGGCTACTGAGGGCGCCGACCGACGCGTCGGTTCCTTCCCCTCCCGATGGGGGGGGGGAGGGGGTGACCCTACAGTTCCGCCGGGTCTTGGGACAGGAACGTCAGCGAAACTGGAGTTGGTGGTAAGCTAAGTCTGAACTTCCTACTGCGGTTCCCCATTGACTCAAGAATGGCGAGGTCACGCACGTGACCGACCTGACCTCAGGTGGCGTTGATTAAAAGATCCTAGATACACAAGTATTAATTAATAGTTCTGGGTTTTCTAAGTCCTTTGAGATTTATCTCACTCTGAATGATACCCAGCAGGGGCCCGGGAACGATTTTCAAGTTGGGGGGCGAGCCTAAAATATCTGACATGGTGAATATGAAACAGTGGCGTAGCTAGGGTTATAAGGGGACACGTATCCCCCCCCCCATCGGGTTCAAAGGGACCTTCAGGTCGGAGGGGCCCTGCGGCGCCATTTGACCACTGAGGGCTAACGATTGCCATATTTCGACTTAGAAGGGCCCCATGGGGCTCGTTAGAGTACCTCATGGACCCCAAATAGCCACACTAAGATCTCCATAAGGGCCCCACACCGGCTTCTGAGGGCCTCTTATGGCTTTTAAGGGCCCCTCGGTGGTCTCCAAAGGCCCGTTACTGGCCTCTTGAGGGTTCTTACCGGCCTATGAGGGGCCACTTCTAGGGGTATTTCCCGCCTGTGATGGTCCCGCACTTATTTTTCTGAGGGCCCCACAACGGCAACTGTGGGGCCCTCATCGGCGCCTATGAGGGCCCACGGCCATATCGGTGTCTCTGAGGGTTATACACCCCCAACTCTGAGTGCCTACACCAGTGCCTAAAAGCCCTATATTGGCGGCTCCGAGGATCCAACCAACACCTGCGCATCTAAAGGCCATCCACTGGTGACTTTTGAGGGCCCCACACCGGTGACTTTGAGGGCCCTACCGGCGTCTGACAGTACCATGCCAGTCTCTAAGGACCCCACAGGACTTCTTCTGTCGGCCTAAGGGCCCCTTGCCGGTCACTGAGACCCCCTGCCGGCTTGTAGAGAGCTCGCGTCAGCAGCTCTTAGGGTCCCACACCCGTCTGTAACGGCTCCACACCAGCGTCTATGAAGGCCTACAGCAACGCCTGTAAGGACCCTCACCGGCACCTCTGAGAGAATCACACTAGCACCTCTGAGTGCCCACACCGGCACCTGCATGACGGCCCAACACCAGTGCCTGTAAACTCTAAAGCCCCTTACCAGCGGCTCTGAGGGCCCTGCGCCGGCGATTCTGAGGGTGCTACCGATAAACGAAGGCACCACTGACCACACAAGCCCTTAGTGTCACTGAGCTTTAATTCCATACCGGCCCTCCGAGGGCGCCACGTCAGTGCACTCATTGCCCTACACCTACACCCCTCCCTCACACCCGGAGCGGGTAAACTGTGATATACCTATAACAGCGATTTTACCACCGTTGTATGTATTTCTCAAAGTTGACTTTAAATGGTCCATTATAAAACCTGGCCTGCCAAACTTATGGCCAAGGTCAGGCTCAAACCAAAGGGCGTTGACAATAGCAGATGTTGTCAAATCGATACTGTACCAATCAGCAGAAACCATTCAGATGGCAAGGAAAATGCCGTGTGTTGATGTTTACATGTATGAAGGAAACAAGAAGGAAAGAAGTCCGGAAAAGGGAGGAAAGATCCTTTCTCGCTGCCTCAATGTTGAGGGGGCGCCGCCCCCTCGGCTCCCAAGTTGGGGGGGCAAGCGCCCCCGCTGCCCCCCCTGTTCCCGGGTCTATGAATTACCCAGGAACTGAGGGCGTTGCGAATTGGTGAGAGTTTAGCACCGTGCACACTGCACAGGACACAGGTCGACTTGGTCTGGTTGGACGTCAAATAACGTCAGTGGCCTGACCTGACCGGAAACTGTGGTTCGTATAAAAAGAACCTGCTTGAATTAAAGGCCAGAAATACCAGCTTTCAGCCCTCTAGCCCTCGCCGGCACAGGCCATTTTGAGTCCTTCGACGGCACAAGGGGGGGGGGGGGTTGGTACGACCCCCCCTCGCGTTTGGCCCCTGATCGAGCTAGAGCTTCGCGGAAAAAACGAGCGTGTTGCCCGTCACGAGAGGAAGCCGATGATACCCAATTTTCAGGTCCTAGGTCATCGGGTGACCTTCCAGGTCAGGTCAATGACCCGAAAACCGGGAAAATCGGGACCTGTTAGAAAGTCGTAAAGTGTGGCTACTATGTGGTTTTCCGGGGTGCTGATCACGAATGTCGTGTTAGTTTTGATCAGAGATGATGTCTTTAAGCATTCAGACGAGGTCCGGTCAGGTCAGGTCAGGTCAACCGGTAGGGGTTGTGACGGGTATTCGCAATACGTGTCAACCGCCTCGGACAGCTTCGTAACATGTTACGAAGGCACCAAAACTACTTGGTAAATGTTCAAATGGTTGCTAAATTCGAATTCAGCTCCAAAAACTAGCCTAGAAACATGTAAAACTCGAAAAAGTGAACCGAGGTCACCCGAGGTCACCAAAGGTCAATGACCTGACCTGACCTTCAGGTGACCTTGACACCCACCCTAATGCATGGGAGCAACATCAAATCACTTTACAACGCATTCTGATGTAGGGGAAGGTGGGGTAAGACGGCCCAGCGGGACAAGACGGACCACCGGCCCTCCCGGCTGAACCGCTGCTGGTATCTACTGCTTTATGCACTCACTATGTTTGTTTTCCTTCGTAACAATAGCCACCTTGAGCTCATGCTGCTAGGATGCATAACTTTTGAGTTATTGAGAAAAATGTTTTTCGTCAAACCGATCTAATATAAGAGGTCTACGGGTGATTCAATTACGGCGCCTTTCTTGCATGATTAGTTTCTATTTTGCACACTTTTTTCTATTTTTGTGAAGAACAAAGTTATAAACTTAGTTATAGTCACACTTTAGGAAAGGCAAGGTTTTGCAATGTTAGGCTTGACATATACGTCATGATAATGACAGAGTTTAGATTTGGGGCAAGACGGACCACTGTGGTCCATCTTACCCTGTGGTGGTCCATTGTACCCTGCATATGGAAAGTTTTTTTTTCCAAAACATTGACACAAGTTTCAGTAAGCTAATTTTTCAGGAAGGAGTCTTTGTTGCATGTGAGCCATGCATGCAAGTGCTCAGTTAGCATGCATTCATGCCAAACGACAATCAACACACATGTTCCCAGCTTTTAGCTGCACTTCCATCACACATGAGTAAAGAATAAAGGCTCACTTTGTTATTTTACCATTCTGGTTACTTTTTCTTACAAGAGTACAGAGCAGAAGTGTAACACACATGAACGGATAGCAGGCACTGCTTGGTGGTCCGTCTTACCCACAGGGGAGCAATGCCGCTTCAACCCTATTGGCCGTAGTGTCTAACGGTGGCGGCCATATTGCGCAGACCAGAAGCCGGCTGCCGCCTGTGTTGAGGAATAGGGAATTCGGGACCTCGATTTACGTTTGCGGCCGCCGTATCCGTTACGTTCAAGTTACGTAGATACGGAACCCGGCATCTTACGCAGAATTGAGTGGGGAACACGATCGTATCTTCAGAATTCCTCAAATTCACTCGCCTGACCTACCTTTGCCCCGGCCGAGGGGGTTGATTGAACCCACCTCGCTAATGCACCGCTAATTAAACTAGAATTAAGCGGTAAAGTGGTCGTATGCGGCAAATTATAATGCAGAGTGAATGGTAGGAACCCGCTGTAAGGGTCTCAGGTCAACCGGTGACCTCTGAGGTCAGGTCAAGTGATCTAAGGCACGGGTTCGGTTTTTGGTAAATAGCTTCGCCAAAAATGGCCGTAGAGCCGCGATTTTGGCATCATCGTGTTCAGCTAGCTCAGGCGCATCGAGTGATATACTTTTTGTTCGGGTCAGGTCAACTTAGGGTGTTGACCTCAGGTCAAGGTCAGGTCAGCACCCCCAGGTCACGAAGTTGGTCGAAAGAGGTCATGTCGCATATCATTCGATTCGGCAGGTCTTCCTGAGTCCATTGGTGGCTTTCCCGACTCGCTAGCTCAATTTGATCGGGAGTTATTGAAGAAAAATTGTGACCCTTGTGACGTCACAGATGACGTCACGCAAGGGCAACAATGCAAATATGAAGCATAGAACCTTGCAAAAAGTGCATGAAGTCATGATTCTATATGCCTTGAGATAGTTTCAGATCATTCTCGGCGCCAAAATAGCAATTTTCATATTTCCCCATTGACTTATAAGGGTTTAACGTATTAGTTCCTTGTAGCTGAGGATTTTTTAGGATTTCATCTTGTTCTCCACTCAATTCTGCGTAAGATGCCGGGTTCCGTGTCCACATAGCTTGAGCGTAACGGATGCAGCGACCGCAAACGTAAATCGAGGTCCCGAATTCCCTATTCCCCAGCACAGGCGGCGGCCGCTTTCTGGTCTGCGCAACATGGCGGCACCGTTGGACACCATTTGGCGGCCGATGCGCATTCCACATTATAGAGTTCAGTGGTCTTACCCCACGTTTTTTTTTTTGTCTGAGTTTTTGACATTCACATGCCCCTCTTTAAGAGCATCCACCACCTAGATTTCTTTAATTTGAAATTTAGTCTTTACACATATCAACAGAGGAAGGATTGAGCATTCCGAAGACTACAAATAGGTAATATGAATTACGAGAGCAGTGTAGCAAGATATGCGGCCTCAAACCTTAGCTGGTCCGTCTTACCCCACCTTCCCCTACAGTCTGTCTTAACACGCGCAGTGGAAGGGTTGCGAGTACTACGCCCAGTGGAAGGGGGGGGGGGCGGATGGTGCCCCCCCCAAAATCTCATCTCCCAGTGGAGCTAGGAAGACGAAATTTGGAGGGTAGGTGGGGGCCCTGGGGAACTCTGTTGTGTGTGAATTTCATGACCGTAGGTCAATATCTTCAAGGTCAAATGAGATCAAATGTGGTCAAATCTGCCATATGAGC